CAATGCATAGCGATGCTTTGCACAACAGAATGAAACACTACCTAATCCTAATCCTGTATCATCCTCATAGTTGTTGTAATGCTTGAGTCTATTGCTGCTGCTGTTGCTGCCACTGTGTCAATCGATCTCATTGGACGTCTTCTTTTTTTTCACTGACCCTCCACTTTACCAAGCATGATGTCCTTCTCCAGGGACTGGTGCCTCCTGATAATATGTCTGAAGTATGAGAGATAGAAGTCTCACCATCCTGGTTTCTGAGGTTCATTTTGGCTGCACTGCTTCCAGTAGAGATTTATTTGTTTTTCTGACAGCCCATGATACTCTCAATATTCTTTTCCAACACCATAATGCAAATGCATCAATTCTTATAAGGCCTTCCTTAGTCATTGTCCAATTTCGCTTGCATAGGAGAATACTGAAAATGCCATGGCTTAAGTTAGGCACACCTTAGTCCTCAAAATGGTATATTTGCTCTTAAACACTTAAAGAGATCTTTTGCAGCAGATTTGTCTAATGCAATAGGTCATTTGATTTCTTGGTTGCTGCTCCTATGAGTGTTAATTGTGGAATCAAGCAAGATGAAGTCTTTGACGATTACAATCTTTTCTCCATTTATCATGATGTTATTTATTGATCCAGTTGTGAGGATTTTTGTTTTCTTTACATTGAGGTGCAGTCCATACTGAAGGGTACAGCTGTAGTCTGATCTTCATCAGTAAGTATTTTAATCCTCTTTGTTTCCAGCAAGCAAAGTTGTATCATCAGCATATCACAGGTTATTAATGAGTCTTCCTCCAATTATGATGTCACATTCTTCATATAATTCAGCTTCTCAGATTATTTGTTCAGCATACAGATTGAATAAGTATGGTGAAAGAATACAACTCTGGTGCACACCTTCCCTGATTTTAAACCATTCAGTATCCCCTTGTGTTCAGTTTGAATGACGGCCTCTACACACAATTAAGTGTTCTAAAATACCCATTCTTTACAGTGTTATCCATAGTGTGTCATGATCCACACAGTCAAAAGCTTTTGCATAGTCAATAAAGCACAAGTAAATATCTTTCTGCTATTCTATACTTTCAGCCAAGATCCATATGACATCAGCTATGATACCCTTAGTTCCACGTCCTCTTCTGAATCCAGCATGAATTTCTGGGCAGTTCCATGTCAGTGTACTATTGCAGCCATTTTTAAAATGATCTTCAACAATATTTTACTTGCATGTGATATTAATGATATTGTTTGATGAGTTCCACATTCTGATGGGTCATCTGTCTTTGGAATGGGCATACACAGAGATCTTTTCCAATCTGTTGACCAGGTAGCTGTCTTCCAAATTTTTTGGCATAGATGAGTGAGCACCTACAGTGCCACATCAGTTTGGTGAAATATTTCGATTTGTAGTACTTCCATTCCTGGAGCCTTGTTTTTTTTTGCCAATGCCTTCAGTGTAGCATCAACTTCTTTCTTCAGTACCATTGGTTCTTGATCATATGCTACCTCCTGAAATGGTAGAGCATTTACCTTTTTGGTACAGTGACTCTGTGTATACTTTCCATCTTTTTTTGATGCTTTCTGCATCATTCAATATTTTGCCCATAGAGTCTTTGCACCATTAACAACCTGAAATATGCAGATGATATAACGTTGCTTGCTGAAAGTGAAGAAGACTTGAAACACTTGATGATGAAGATCAAATACAGCAGCCTTCATTATGGATGACAATTTAAAGTAAAAAAAAAAAAAGCAACAATTCACATAACTGGATGAATAAACAGCATCATGATAAATGGAGAAAAGATTGAATTTGTCAATGATTTTATTTTACTTGGATCCACAATCAATGCTCATCTAGGCATCAGTCAGGAATTTCACTAAGGATAAATTGCATTGGGTAAGTCTGTAAGAGACCTCTTTAAAGTGTTAAAGAGCCAAGATGTTGCTTTAAGGACTAAAGTGTACCTGACCCAACCCATTGTATTTTCAATTACCTCATATGCATATGAAAGTTTGACAATGAATAAAGAAGATAAGAGAAGAATTTATGTATTTGAATTTTGGTGTTGGCAAAGAACAGTGAAAGGACCATGGACTGCCAGAATTTAAAAAAAAAAAAAAAAAAAAAATCTGTCTTGGAAGAACACTCCTTAGAAGTGAGGATGGTGAGATTTTGTCTCACATGCTTTAATCATGTTGTCATGAAGGACCAGTTCCTAGAGTGGAGGGTCAGAGAAAAGCAGGAAGAGCCCCAGTGAGATGGATTGACACAGTGGCTACAGCAAGGGCTCAAACATAACAACAATTGTGAGGATGACACAGGACAGGGCAGTGTTTCACTCTTTTGTGCATAGGGCCACTATAAGTCGGAACAGACTTGATGACATCTAACAACAACATGCTTGCATCTCAGCCTTGCCATGAAACTATGTCAAGCTAGATTCTGAAGGGATATGAAAGACACATGAAAGATAGAACATATGGAAGAAAGCAAGGTGCTCCAGTTTACCGACAGCCAACATCCTGAAACCAATCTGCAGCTGACTACAGATGCTTGACTGAGACAAACTGAAACCAGAAGAACTGTCCTGCCAAACCAACCTAAAGTACTAATCTGAAGAATCATGAGCCAAATAGATGGTTTGTTGTTCTAAACCTCTGAGTTTGGTGTGGCTTGTGATGAGCAATAGTTAACTGAACCCTGACTGATGTTTTAAATGAAGATTGTTGTGTTTATGTTTTGTTTTACTCTTTAATTAAAAAAACCAACAACTATTCTAATCCTGGAAAACCAGGATTAGAATAGTAACTCCACAGTCATCAGAGACTCAGACTCCTTATCTTTATGTTCCATCATCTATAAACCCTGGCTTCCATACTTCCTTCTACCTGAGTAACTCCCTTTAAAAAAAACTTTTACTGAAGTCTCACCCAATGAGTAACTTGATTCTCAATGGCCACCCATAGCTGCAAGGGAGGCTCCATTTTTCTTTTATCTGAGCACAGTTACTATCCAGAATAAAATCAAAAGTTCTGTTAATAAGAGATAATAGAAGAATGAGTAGGCAATCAGTATGGAATTATATGTATGGAATCCGGCTACAGACCTGGGACTCCCAATGCAAAACTGGCTGCATATCTTGCAATGAAAGTGTTCATTTCCCAAAGAGTTCATCATAGTGGTGGTTTTGACCTGTAACAACAAGACATAAGGTTTGGGCAATAGAGATCTAGATGAGAATCAGGAGTACACTGGTCTCCTGGTCCCTTGTGCTGTGAACATAAGTGGGAGAAAAGTTTTATTCTTTAAATTGTTAAACCCTGAGACTGACCTTCCTCTCTCCATCCCTCCCTTTCTTTCTTTTACTCTTATCTTTTTATAAAGGTATAATTCCCAGAACACAAAAATTGCCATTTTAGGGCATACGATTTCTAGATTTCTAATCTATTCACTATATTGCTCTACCAATACCAATATCTAATTTCAGAACATTTCCTTCACTCCCCAAATAAACTCCATTACCAATCAGCAGTCAGGGCAGGTGCTTACTTTAATCCTTCTGCACCTGGTTCCAGGTGGATAAGAGAGTTAGTCTTGCCACTTGAGTGAGTGCTTGAACTCCTTGACCAACATATGTCCAAACTCTGGGATTACAGAATACTTTGGATTCTCTTAGGAGAGACAAGACGAAGGTCATGATGCAATCTGACTAGGACAAAGTGAAGAATATCCATAATGACTCTCCAAAACCTACACACTCTCCGTGTGGGCTCACTGCAGCCACCTTCTTGCAGGCCACCCTCTACCTGAGCAGAAAAAGGAAAGAAGGCTCCACACTGAGGGGACATACTCAGTAACTTCCAGCCTCCAAAGGACTTGGTGGTGATACCCTAAGGTACAGAAGCAGGTTATGTGACACTGCTGTGTTGTGACACAGGATGCTGACCTGGGATTTCCAGATTCAGATGTTACTATTTAGTATGAAATGTACAGGGAGGATGCAAAACTAACATTTACTAAAGGCCTCATATGTTCCAGATAGGAACCATGGTGATGCAGTGGGCTCTAATCAAAAGGTGGGTGGTTGGAACCCACCAGTCACTCAACAGGAGAAAGATTTAGAATATCTGAAACCCTGTGGAGCCGTTCTACACTGTGCTCTAGGGTCACTATGAGTCGGAAATGACTCTATAACAGTGGTTTTGACTTTGGTTTTATGTTCCAGATAGAAACAGAATTTCATTTTACTACCCACAATCATCCTCTGAGGCAATAATACCCATTTTACAGAAGAAGACATGGAGATTTGCAACCATAAACCCTTGTCTGGCAGTGGAGCCAGAATTTCAGACACTTCAGTCTGATTCTCTAGTCTCTGCATTTTGCATTGTGCATGCTGTGGGTACCTGTGAAATGAATTCTAACCTGGCCCATGGCAGGCAGAGCAACCCCCTTGCATTGGCCTAGTTGTTGCTGCTCAGAGGGCAGTGATATCAGGAGGGAGCTACACTTAGCTTTGGATTTCTCTGCTAATGGGAGCTTGGTGTGAGCTTCCCCTCCCTCTACCCACTTCCTATTCTTTACTCCTCAAGCAAAAAGGTTGTTCAAGGAGACTCCAGGGTTTGGGGTCTGCCTCGTCACTATCACCAGGAGTCTTTTTTTCTGACTGACTTGCCAGAGCTCCCCGCCAGTCCTCATAGAGCCTCTGGAAGCAAAGGGAAGGCAGCTGTGGGGATCCTGGCTGAACAAAGTCCAGGTAAAGCAGGCTTCAAAATGGACTGATGGGGATGGTTGGGATGTCACAGGTTTGATTGCAGAGTGAGGGGGGAGGGGGAGCAGTCAGGAAGAATTGTAGGTTCTGCTGTTCGGTTGATTAAGGGGGTCAGCGTGTGTATGTGTCATCGAGGTGGGCAGGGAAGGGGAGGGGTGTGAGTGTGTGTGTGTGTGTGTGTAGAGGATATATATGCTTGTGTGGCTGAAACGGCAGAACCGAGCCTCACATCCAAGGAAGCCTGGCTACCGAGAGCTCTCAGGTAAGACAACTGCATGCGAACCCCAGCCTGGGACAAACTGCTTGGAGCTCCCTGAAATGGGAAGAGCAGGACAGCCAAAGGCTCTTTCCTCAGCTTCTGTCTTTTGTCCAGTTTGGATGCTGCTGATCTTCTTGTGAGGTTATTCCTTCACTCATTTTATTTGCAGTGCTTTGATGGGGTGGGGGGGGCGTGAGCTTTTTTTTTTTTTCTTTTTTTTTTAATCTTAAGAGAAATACAAAAGAAAGAGCTGAACTTGAAATGAGGAAAAGTTTGGATTCCCCAATTTGGACCCCCACTTTGTTATTGCTATTTGTTGCGAAGAGGGGGCTATTGGAGCATGCTTATATGAGAGATGGCTTGCCATATATAGAGCCTCCCCCAGGAAGCCCCTTGCTCCCTTGTGAGGGTTTTTGTTCTGTGGCTGACTTCTTTTCCTTCCCTGATGTTCTGTTCAGGCTGGTTTCAACATATCACTAAATGTGATATCATTTGTATTTGAGTTTTTAATCCTTAGGGAAACCTTCTCCTTTGTGTACTGAATAGAAATTGCTAACAGTGATATAGCTTCAGACCTGGGGGGTTATGCTCTACCTGTACATTGTTGAACATGGTCGCTGCATGTGAGTTCCATAAAGAATTTCTGCAGGAATATCCTTCATCTTCTAGACCCGGAATCATATTGAGGGCTCATCAAGATCTTTGTAACTTGCCCAACTCTCCCACCTAAAGGTCTTTGCCCAGGTCCTGTGGAAAACTACTTTCAGAAGTCACATTTCCAAACTCTCTGCTCTTTTTCAGCCTTCTTCCTTTCTCATTTTCTTTGTGCATCTTTCTTTCTCCCTGTGTGTCTCGATTCCCTTCATTACCCATCCCTTCCTCCTGCTCCCTACCCCCCATCTCACTCTGAACATGTGCAAGTTCTGGGGGAATTTCAAGTAAGGCAGGATGATTCGGGAAATGGACTATTTAAAGCAAGCTGCTTTGGTCTTGAATACCCTGATCCTAGGTTTAAACATCTGTGTTTAGCTTCTTCGAGCAGCTCATAATTGCCCCAATTATAACCAATAACATTGTTCAGCAGACTAACAAAAGATAAGCTTTGCACGGCATTCACCAGCAAGTCTAAACCAGAGTTTTCAATATAGAGGGAAAAAGTAACTGCCTGGCTTCTTATCAAAACCTCTGAAAGAAAATGCTGTTGTTTCTCCTTGCTGGTGGGTGTCAGCTAAACGCATAATCCTTTTTTCTCTTTTACAAAGTGTGGTAGAACTATTCGACGAGCGTCCACTGGTCCTGTGGTACCTGTAACAAAAAAGAATAGTGATACTCTGGGTTTGTTGAGCTTTCTGCAGCGGAGAGTCCCTGAAAGACCATCCCCAACCACCCTCGCCTTAGTAAAAGCAGCAGCCCCCACTGATTCATCGGCTGTCTGTCTCTGTCTGTAGGGGGCGCTGTGGTGCAACCTGAGGTCGTTTGGGGGTGTAGTTCTGGTCTCTGCAGCGAGGCTATCCCCCTGCTTTATCAGCTGAAGGCTGGAAGTACTTAGGGATTTAGAAAATGCAGGTTTTGCATTGTCAGTGAAGGGAGTAATTGCAGGATTAGGCTCAAACCTGTGTTTTCTGGAGCCTATGACTGGAGTTGTCGCAAAACTATTTCATATTCCATCAATCAGGTATTTATCATCTACACACTACCAGGCAAGGGAGGTACGCTGGGGATCCAACAAAGGTGATTATTTGTGCTCTCCGTACCCATTATCCCTAGCAACAACCCTGTGAAGGGATGTCATATCTCCATGTTGTAGTTGAGGAAACTGAAGCTGAGAGGTTAAATAATTTGTTGAGTACATGGCAGAGCTCGTACTGAACTCAACCTTCCTGGCTCCAGTGTATCCCCCTAGTCAGTACGGGGGAGGTTATAAACTAATTGGGAGGAGACAACACAAACACATGTGAAACAATTAGAGAACAATGCAAGACTGTATGTAATTAAGTCCTAAATTGCGTGGTTCAGGCTGCAAGTACTGGAGGAATTCAGGGGAAGGAGTCCTTCCTGAGTGTGGGCCAAAAGCAGGTAGGGTGGTGGAGAGAGGGACTGTGTTTGGGGGAGGGCGGTGGTGAGGTGATGCAGGATAAGGAAGAGAAGTAGAATTTGGATGGGTCTAGGCTGCGAACCGCAAGGTCAGCAGTTCGAAACTACCAGCTGCTCCTCGGGAGAAAGAAGAGGCTTTCTGCTCCCGTAAAGATTTACAGCCTCGGAAACCCTGTACAGGGTCGCTATGAGTCGGAACTGACTCCACGGCACATAACAACAACAGTGCTGGTGTGGCACTGTAGGATAAGCGGATTAGCACTGGACCACAAGATCAATTTGAATCTCAAGGTAAGCAGTTCAAAGCCACCAGCTGCTCCTCAGAAACCCTACACAGTGTCACTATGAGCTGGAACCAATTCTGTGGCACTTAACAACAACAACAAGAGCCCCGGTGGAGCAGTGGATAAGCACTCAGTTGCCCACCTAAAAGTGTGCGGATTAAACCTATCAGTATTTCCGAAAGAAAGAGTCAATCTCGACCCATAGCGACCCTGTATAGGGTTTCCAAGGAGCAGCTAGTGAGCTTAAACTGCCGACCTTGAGGTTTAAACTGACTTTGCAGTCGAGTGCATTAACACCAGGACTCCCCATAAAGAATACAGCCTAGTAAACCCTACGGGGAAGTTCTACTCTATTCTATAGGTCGCTGCTAGTCAACCTCTCAGAGGAGAAAACAGTTAAGCATTCCATTACTAGCCAAAAGGTTGGTGCTTGAAACTCACCTCTTGGTACCTTAAAGACAGACCTAAGCAATCTGCTTCCAAGAAAGGTCACATCCTTGAAAACCCTATAGAACAGTTCTACTCCGCACACGAGGTCACCATGAGTCTGAAACATGAAAAACAACCAAAGGAAGACAGAGGAATTCATAGTTCCTTAAACCTACTACATGCCAGACAATGAACTAAGCTTGTCTACATGCTTTTCTCACTAAATCTCCCCATGGCAGGAATGTGGGATTTGAAGTGCGTTTTCTACACTTGGTAACAATATGGTTCAGTGATCCTCACGCCCCACCCCTCACAACTCCCAAAGGTAACAAGGGAACCTTTGAAATCACACTTGTTCTAGGTCTGATTGGAGGTACTCAGCGGCTATCTTAGGAAAGGAATGAGACCTTCTCAGAAAATAGGAATCATCATCAACTTGCAGAGACTCGAATTGCTAAGAATTCATTAGGCAAACAGGACTATCTAGAACATGCTTATTTAAATACCTATTGGGGTTTCTGCCAACTAACATGAAGCCTTACTTCTAACTGCAATCATAAGATTTTGGCCACAACAGTTTTGGGGACAAGCCAATTTTCAGGTTATCTTCTTAGGTAGGCTACAGTTGCTGTCAGTCTTGACTTTTTGTGGTCTTGTGACTTTTCAAAATACTGGCAGCTGCTTCAGCACTGCAGAAACACAATAATGTCAGTTTGGAAGGGTTGGGCTAGGTGCATGAATTGTACAGCTTGCCTTGGAGGAAGGAGTCCAGGTTCTTAGTGAAAATGTCAGTAAATCACCCTACCTTATCCTTCCCACAGTAGCTAAGAGCCAACCTCCCCTCTTTTCTCCCTCTGCCTGTGATCTTCCTCTCCCCGCCTCCCCCCCACCCTCCACCATTCCCCATTCATCCTTTCATTCATTCAGCAAATAAGCGTGTGTTGAGTTTCTGATAGGAGCCGCACAGCCCGTGCCAGGAATACGGAGCTGTCAGACAGTCCTTATCGTCCTCAAAACTCACAGTCTGTAGCTAAATGTTAGTCCATCCAGCAGCGGCACATCTACAGAAAATAGCGCTGAGGGCAATTAGTTTAAATTGCTGAATTATCTCTCACAGATGGTGATGGAAACGATGATGGAAAGTAGAAACTGCACACTGATGTCCCCTCACCAACACCTCAAGTGGTGCCCAGAGCACATTCCACACCCACAGTACCTTCCATATGCCTCTGCCTCTAGATCACTTGTTTCCAAAGGGTGATGCATGTCTGACAGCCCACTGAGAGTCAGGAAATTGGAGCTTTCATTCTTGTTTTATCTTCTCTTCCTTAATTTGCATTTTAGTGGGTTTAACAATTGCACATAATTTATAAATAAATAAATTGAGAATGTATGCTCAAAAAGTTTTATCATTAGAGATACAAAGTTAAGGAAGTTTGAAGACTGTTGGTCTAGGTTCATTACAATTGGTCTAGGTTCAGTAGAAAAAAAAAACAAATCTGTGTTTTCTTATCTCTGATGAGAACACTTTTCTTATAAATGTAAATAAAAGCTTTTAAAAATATTTTAAATTATGTTGACAGTGCACAAGAGTAAATCAAAAAGTATTGCTAGTAGGGTTCCAGTTTATACATACACGGGTTCATTCAAAACAAAACATGCTTAAACATTTCTCTACAATTAATACACGGCTGTAGAGAGGTCATTTTAGAAAGTGATAGAAACTATGTTTGGGGCTTTCAAAGGATAATCTTTATAGATTTTCTCAAAGGGCACAGGACAATCACAGAGACTTATGATAAAGAAGTTTTAAGAAAACTAAAAACTGTAGTGGTGAGAAAAAGGCCAGGAAAAAGTTGTGTTGAGGAATCTTTTTCCATCTTCGAGGATAGCAAGGTCTGTCCTAGGAGAATTTCCTTGGGAAACTTTACTCTATCCACCCAACTGCCCTGATCTTGCACATTCAGACTTCTTTGTTCCCAAAGCTCAAAGAACATTGAAATAAACAATAGCTTCACATTTTGATATTTTTTTAAATAAAGTTTTCTATAATTTTTGTAACAATACTTTTTAAGTTACCCCTGGATGTGGGACTATGGGCCAGATCAGAAAGAAGTTAAGAGTGATATGTTTCCTTTTGTGAAGGCCCTGGTGGAACTTGTAGGTTTTGCTCCTCTGAAGGCCTCTCCTGAAACC